AGCACGAGAGAGGCAGTGGGACCCCCGGAAGCACAAGGGGACGACCGCAGCCTCCCGCCCGCTCCCCACCAGCGAGGACACGCCGCCCCGGGATGCACATCGGCCGTGCCCTCCCGGCAACACCCAGCTCAGAAACAGCACAAACCCCAGACACCGGGGCGGAAGCAATGGGTCGCCACCCTCCCACCCCCCACTTCCCTTCCAATTATCCCCATTTCAGATACCCCGCAGCTCCTGGAGGCCAGCACTGGCTCCAGGAGACAGAGCTGCTTCCCAGCTCCCAAGAGCCGGGCTGGTTCCCGGCCGTGCCCTCCCGGCAACACCCAGCTCAGAAACAGCACAAACCCCAGACACCGGGGCGGAAGCAATGGGTCGCCACCCTCCCACCCCCCACTTCCCTTCCAATTATCCCCATTTCAGATACCCCGCAGCTCCTGGAGGCCAGCACTGGCTCCAGGAGACAGAGCTGCTTCCCAGCTCCCAAGAGCCGGGCTGGTTCCCGGGACACAGGGCTGATAGTTCAGCTTCAAGCCGTTCCCGGCTTAAGGAAGAAACATCATCTGTTAAAAATGCGAGCAACAGGGTCTGCTGAAGCTCAGGAATGTCGCTGCCCAGATCCACGCATTCTTCCAGTTACTTTTTTTAGTCCCTAAACTGGTCTTCCCAGAAGCCTGGAAGAGGAGGAAGAGGGGGGAGGAAAGTGGCTCAGGAGGGGGTCGTGGCAGGGGGAAATCCCACGGGAGGCGTGGGACACGGGGGACGGAGACGCCAGCCATCGCCTTCCTCACCAGACCTCCCCTCCAGCACCGGCGGAGGCAGGTTTCACCCGAGCTTTATTTTGGACGGGGGAAAAAGCCACTCAAAAAGAGACGCTCCAAGCACGCCTTAAGGCTGGCAGCGTAAGGGATAGGGATGGAATTCTGGAATGGAGAAGTAGCAATTGGGGGGGAAGATTTAAAAAAAAAAAAAAAGGGAAATAAAGGGAAAAAAAAAAAATAAATGCTCGGCTAATGGAAACCAGATGAGGCTCCCGGGTTTAGGGGAAGCGTTAACTGTTGCTTTCCACCGGCCTCCGCAGGCGCTCGGCTGCTGCTTTTTAATTAATAATTAATATAAGGAAAAGCCCCGGAGGCTGCTGGCGACCGCTGGGGCAAAGGGTCCACATGCCCCCACGGGGTAAAAGGGGGTGG